ATTTGTCTATAAGATTAAAAAGTCTAGTTAAGCTAAGTTCTACATCAGCCTGCCGCTTCATGGATACTAAAAGTCATATTCACCTTCTTGCTTAACACAATTACTGAAGAATTGTTTTGATATGTCGATCCTTCCCACAACATGAGGTCAACAGAAAGTCTAGCTTGAAGCTAGAGTTATCCAATGTTCACAAATTAGAAAATTCTAAGACAGCAGGTATTTCTTAGTGTAATCATAAAGTCAATATTTCTTTACTACATTCCAGATCACTCATTTCCACAGTTTCTATTTGGCAAAAAGAGGTTTTACACAAACACACACACACACACACACACACACACACACACACAAACTTGAGGTTTCACATCTTTAAATGTGAAGTGCTTAGAATATGATACCTCAAACAAAGTAAAGGCTCAAAAATGCCTGTAATTACTAATACCATTCTAAGAAACACATGTAACAGACCCTTATTCTTTAATTTCCTTCAAAATATAAATAAATACATGGTACTAAAACCAGACCCACTTTTAAACAAAGCATTTTTATGAAGCTGAGAACAAAATCAATTTTTAATGAATATGAATTGAACATATTGAAGTACAGGATCAATAAAAACTTAGTAAACTGTACCCAAGAATTTTTAAAGTTCTAAATTATACTTATTGGTATTTAACTATGACCTTAAAATTAAAATAACTGAGATAATCAGAAAAAATACTGCTAATATAAAGACCTCATCTTTGCATTGCATTTTTTACATGAGCAAAGTTGTATTTCATCGCCATATTACTATAAAATAATTAAACGTATTTTATAAAATATAAGTCATAAACATATTAAATCCAGTAAAGAATCATACAAGGAATATTTATACTTGTGACCATATAATGATACCTCACCCACCAAAAAAAATTCTGTTCAATAACACTACCATCATGTAAACAAAGTATAGGTGAAAGAAGTTTAAAAAAAAAAAAAGAATTATATTTTTTAAACACTTCTCTTGCAACACTATGTGTGTTTTTAATAGAAATAAAATGTTAATTTAAAAGTAACAGTAGCTAGGCAAGGTGGCTCACACCTGTAATCCCAGCACTTTGGGAGATCGAGGCAGACAGATCACTGGGGCTCAGAAGTTTGAGACCAGCCTGGGCAACATGGCAAAACCCCACATCTACTAAAAAAAAAAAACAAAACAAAACAAAAAAAAATTAGCTGGGTGTTGTGGCACATACCTATAGTCTCAGCTACCAGGGAGGCTGAGGCAAGAGGATCAATTGAGCCCTGGAGGTACAGGCTGCAATGAACTGTGATTACGCCACCACACTCCAGCCTGGGTGACAGAACAAGACCCTGTCTCAAAATAATTAATAAATAAATAATAAAAGTAACTGGATGTAATGTCCAGTTTTATAATAGCTGCTAAAGCTGTTTCTTAAACTTTATACCTGGAAATCATTCAAATATGCAGAAAAGTTGTAAGAATAGTTCAAAGAGCTTCTACATATCCTTTATCCTGATTTGACCAACTGTCAACAACAATGCTGCTGACCAACTGTCAACATTTTGCATTATATTCCATGTCATACACATATTTTCTGAACCATTTGAAAGATGCACATATCACACCTTTTTACCTCTAAATACTTCAACTGTATCTCCTAAGAACAAAGGTATTCTCTTAAATATCTACAGTATAATTACCAACTTCAGAAAACTTAAGTTACACAATATCTTAATGTAATGCCTATTTTCTCTTTTTTTTTTTAGTTGAGCAAAAATGCCCTCCAAGACGTTTTTCCTCCTTCATTACAGAATCCAATCCAGGGTCATGTACTGCATTTAGCTGTCATGTCTATCTAGACCTAGACTTCTTTAATTTGAAACACTTTTCTTTCAGTAAATATCTTTTGTTTTGTTTTCAGACAGGGCCTCACTATGTTGCCCAGGCTGGACTTGAACTCGTAGGCTCAAATGATCCTCCTGCCTCAGCCTCCTGGAGAGCTGGGACTACAGGTCCACACCAATGCACCTGGCTTCTGCTAAATACCTTTTAAATGATTTTATCTTTACATGATATCCTGCAAGATAAGATTTTAAACGTGGAATTCTTAAAAAAAAAAAAAAAAAAACTATATAGAGAAGTTCCATTAAAAAAAAAAGTTCAGTGAAAGAGCTATGAAAAGTTCAGGAGACTTAAATAAAAAATACATACATATCTCACTGTTGCCTAGGCTGGTACAATCTCAGCTCACTGCAACCTCTGCCTTCTAGGTTCAAGCAATTCTCTTGCCTCAGCCTCCCAAGTGGGTGGGATTATAGGCTCCTGCCAACACATCTGGCTAATTTTTTGTATTTTTAGTAGAGATAGGGTTTCACCATGTTGGCCAGACTGGTCTTGAACTCCTGACCACAGGATCCACACACCTTGGCCTCCCAAACTGCTGGGATTACAGGCATAAGCCACCACAATTGGCCTATAGTACATACATTTCAAAGCTTTATAATGAGGAGGTTTCTAGATTTCTTTGAGATTAGTAAGTCTTAGATTAGAGGTTTATATCTTTCTGTTAAATAGCAATATATAATCAATTTGTACAAATAAATCTGACCAATAATTTGATTGCTATCTAGAGAAAATGGATCTAGGCCAGCACTGTGACTCATGCTAGTAAATCTCAGCACTTCGTGAGGCTGAGACAGAAGGACAACTTAAGTCTGGGAGTTCTAGACCAGCCTAAGCAACACAGTAACACCTTATCTCTACAAAAAAATAAGCAAAATTAGCTGGGCACGGTAGTATTCTCCTACAGTCCCAGCTAGTCAGGAGGCTTAGGTGGGAGGATCCCTTGAGCCTGGGAGGTGCAGTGAGCTGAGATTTCACCACTGCACTCTGGCTTGGGTGACAGAGGAAGACCCTGCCTCAAAAAAAAGGTGGGGAACCGGGCATGGCGGCACATGCCTGTGATCCCAACACCTTGGGAGGATGAAGTGGGGGGAAATACATGAGGTCAGGAGTTCAAGACCAGCCCATCCAACATGGCGAAACCCCATCTCTACTAAAAATACAAAAATTAGCTGGGCATAGTGGCGCATGCCTGCAGTCCTAGCTGCTCAGGTGGTTGAGGCTCGAGAATCAATTCAACTCAGGAGGTGAAGGTTGCAGTAAGCCAAGATCACACCATCACATTCTGGGTGACAGAGCAAGACTCTGTCTCAAAAATTAAAATAAATAAATAAATAATTTTTTTTTTAAAGGATCTAAAGAAAATTACTATTTTCATCAAAATTCTCTCCTCCTCTAACAAAAACACCCAGTCTCTATAGGCAAATCTTTAAAGAAAGTGCAATGACCTTTGATCATGCGTAAATATAATACATATTGGAACCAGCACATACTTTATTCTTTCACTGGATACTTACCTCTGTGCCAACTATGTGCCAGGCCTATGCTAACTGTGGGGTTGGGGAATCCAGGTGTAAGCTAAAAAGGCACAGTACCTACTCTTAGGAAACTTCTAATTTAGCAAACCACCAGACTTCTGCTTTCAGACAGGAAAGGTATTAGTTTTCCCTAATTTGGAAATGAAGCAATTAGATTCAGAATGGTAAATGTGCCCTGAGTCACATAACTAAATGTTCTCAAGGGACAAAGAAGGTAAACACAAAAATTATGGTCTTCTATATCTTAATATAGTAGTTAACCTGCCTGTGTCTGACTACAAAAGAGTTCCTTGACTATATCCTTTAGGCCTATCCATTGACTCCAAAGGGACAGTGTACTTTCATCCCCAATGAACTACTTTTGTTTCATTGAGTCAGTCATCAACTAGTCTCTTAAGTACTTAAGATATTAGGTACATAAGGTATTATGATAACATTAAAACTTGATTAAAAACAGAGTAGCATACTAATTTTCTTTCTACATAATCCTATTTATATTCATTTTAGAATCAAAATAATAGAAGAATCCATTTCCCCTAATTTACTATTTTAAAACAACACAGGTGATATAATGAGAGTATGGCTTATACTTTCCACAAAAGAAAAAAGTACAGGTAAGTTACTGAGAATTGGCATGAACTCCTACCTCCGTCTAATATCCCCCTAGTTCATCTCTGAAACCATAGCACTCAAATCTATAAATACTTCTCCAACCATGTAGACCAAGGATCAGCTAGACTTATTCTGTAAAAGGCCACAGGGCCCTTTCACAGCCCTGTAAAGGGCCCTCATGATGACATGATGGCCATGATGTCACCAAGTAATAGGGATTTTTCAGCTCCATTATAATTTCACGAGACCACTGTAGCATATTTGGTCCATCACTGACCATGTAATGCATGACTGTACTTAACTGCTGCTACAAGCTAAAAGCAGTCATATATAAAACATAAAAAATAAGAGTGGCCATTGTTCCAATAAAGCTTTACTCATAAACACTAAGATTTAAATTTCATATGACTTTCACATATCACAAATTAGTCTTCTTGAGATTTTTTCCAACCATTTACAAATGCAAACACCACTCACAGCTCATACCAAAGCAGGCAGCAGGCTGGATGAAATTGGTGGTGTGCAGACCCCAATGAAACTTGCTTGTATATAGGAGCTGCAGTCTGGCCAGCTCAGTCCACTGACACATTATCTCTATACCTAACACCTGGCAGGAAATAATTCTTACTCAACTTTCAGTCATTTGCAAATCATCTTCCTTTAACTCAGGAAAAGATAATTCTTACTTTGGATACTAATTTTGAGAAATTTCAGGAATTGCTAAAAATAAAATACTTTACATCTGAATTTCAATCATGTTTCCCAATGAATAACTTTCTTCCTCCTCCTAAGAATGAAAATTCTAAAGATAAATAAAAGCTGCCAAGGAAAGTAGCAGATCATTCCCCAAGTATTTTTATAATTCCTTGTCCTATATGTCCACCAGGACACTCCAAATCCCACCCTACCATGATCAAGGGGGAAAAAAAAAGATAGCATACCTTTGAGCTCAAAATGATGATTGAAGGTATCTAGTGAAATTCGCCAAGTTCTAAAGATTCATCTAAGAGGACTGTAGAATTATCCAAAGGCATCTTACAGTGTAACACAATCAGCTTCTGAGCTTCAGCAGCTTTGCAGGAAAAAATAAAAATAAAAATTGTTAAGAGCAGATGCTGAAATAATGCTAACCAAATTTTAAGTAACATTAACTCTAGTATATTTGTTTCATCAATATATAGAACATTTACTGTGAGCATCCTCTATGTGGCAAGAATTGGGAATATGTCAATAAACAGGTCAGATCTCATTAACCCTTCTGGGAACTCAATTTATAGAGCAACTGTAAAGGGAACAAAAAGCTTGAAAAATCATGAGGGTGTGAAGGGAAAGCATAATAGAGATATAAACCAGTTTGCTGGGAATTGGTTAGAAAAGTTCTCCTGGGCTGGGTGCAGTGGTCGCACCTGTAATCCCAGCACTCTGGGAGGCTGAGGTGGGCGGATCACTCGAGGTCAGGAGTTCAAGATCAGCCTGGCCAACATGGTGAAATCCCATCTCTACTAAGAATACAAATATTAGTTGGGCATGGTGGTGCACACCTGTAATCCCAGATACTGGGGAGGCTGAAGCAGGAGAATAGCTTTAATCTGGGAGATGGAGGTTGCAGTGAGCCGAGATGGCGCCACTGCACTCCAGGCTGGGCGACAGAGTGAGACTCCATCTCAAAGAAAAAAAAAAAAGTTATCCTGAAGGAGGGGAATTGGAATTAAATGCAAGAATGTGTATGATCTAGCCAAATAAAGCAAGAGGGAGAGGTGAGAAGGAAAATTTTTGTCCAAAATGAACAGTGTGTTCAAATGGCCAGGCATAGGTGACAATATGACATTTGTGTGGAAGTAATATAAGTCCAGTGTAGATGCTCAGAATCAAACAGGAAATGAGAAAGGGCATTTTCTGAGATAAGATGGGCAAAGAAAGAAAGTAAAAGGTGAAACAATTTGCCCTGAATCACACAGGGCTAAAGCAGAACCCACTTTAAACCCTTACCACTTGACTGCACTATACTAGCCATTCTGAGCTGGAAAGCTAAAAGTTCCTAGAGAGGAATTTCAGAGAACTTTCTCGAGTGCCGAGTAAGGACTGCCCTGGGCCAATAGCTGTCCTCGACATGGATGGATAAAATAATCAACTGATCATCAAGGGTCTATTGTGCAGAATGAGAAAAAAGTCTTGTAACAATTCTCAACTAATAATTAACAACTACCAAGCACTTTACTATGCATAAAGCCCTGTTTTAAGCACTTGACATGTATTAAAATCAGTCTTTACAACATCACTATCAAGCAATTATTTTCACTATCCAATTTATCTAGAATGATTTTAATGACACAGTCCAATTATGGCTATTAAATTTCTTTTACTGACAAATAAAATTAAAATTCTCAGAAATGTCAACGATACTTCTTGACACAATATTAAAAAGCACTTTAGTCACCCTTTTATCAGAAAAGTACTATTTAAGTATCAACAACAAAAAAAAGCCTTTAGAACATGAATTTGGTTCCTTTATCTTTTCTAATTTACCACCACTGTTTTAGGTCCACATAAAAAACTGAGCGTAAAGTACAGAGATTACCCATATACCCCGACTCCACAAATGTATAGCCTTCCCCATATTCAACATCCCCCACCAGAGTAGTACATTTATAACAACTGACAAACCTATACTGACACATCTTTGCAGTTAACTTTAGGGTTCACTCTTAGTGCTGTAAACTTTATGCGTTTGAACAAATATAATGGCATGCATCCACTATCATATCACACAGAATAGTTTCAATTGTCCTAAAAACCCTCTGTGCTCCGCATATGCATCACTCCTCTCACTTACCCTATACCCAAACTCATCTTTTTATTACCTCCATAATTTTGCCTTTTCCAGGATGTCATAAAGTTGGAATCATACAATATGTAGTCTTTCAGACTGGTTCCTCTTTCACTTAGTAAATATACATTTAAGCTTCCTCCGTGTCTTTTCATGGCTGATAGCTAATTTCTTTTTGGCCACAATCAATGGATTGATATTCCATTGCCTGGATATACTACAGTTTATCAGCTCACATGATGAAAGACATTTTGGTTGCTTCCAAGTTTTGGCAATTATTTATTCTTCCTTTCTTCCTTCCTTTCTTTCTCTCTCCTTCTTTCCTTCTCTTTCCTTTCTTTCTTTCTTTTTTTGAGACAGAGTTTCACTCGTCGCCCAGGATGGAGTGCAATGGTGTGATCTTCACCCACTGCAACCTCTACTTGCCGGATTCAGTGATTCTTCTGCCTCAGCCTCCTGAGTAGCTGGGATTACAGGCATGTGCCACCATGCCCAACTAATTTTGTAGTTTTAGTACAGACAGGGTTTCTCCATGTTGGCCAGGCTGGTCTGGAACTCCTGATCTTAGGTGATCCACCTGCCCTGTCCGCCCAAAGCACTGGCTGGAATTACAGGTGTGAGCCATTGCACCTGGCCCTGGCAATTATTTAAAAGGATGCTATAAATTTCCATATAAAGATTTTTGTATGGACATAAATTTTTAATTCCTTGGTTGCTAGATCATACGGTAAGTATCTTTAGTTTTGTAAGAACCTGCCAAATTGCCTTTCAACGAGGCTGTACCATTTTACATTCTAACCAGCAATGAATGAGAGTTCCTACTGCTCCACATCCTCACCAGCACTGGGGATAGTCAGTATTTTGGATTTTCACCATTCAAATACGTATGTAGGGGTAATCACTTTAATTTGCATTTCCATGATGACAGATGATGTGGTGCATCTTTTCATATGCTTCTTTGCCATCTGTAAATCTTTGGTAAGGTATCTCTCAGGGTACTTGGCCCATTTTCTAACTGGTTTGTCGGTTCTCTTACAGCTAAGTTTTAAGAGTTTATTGTGTACTTTAGATAGAAGTCCTTTATCGTATGTCTTGCATATATCTTCTAGTCTGTAGTTTGTCTTTTTATTCTCTTGATAAGAATAAAACTTTCCTTTTGCAGAGAAGAAACTTTAAATTTTAATTAAATTTAAATTTTTCTAACATGGAGGTCTTTGATGTCGAGGATAAAAACTCACTGCCAAACCCAAAGTCATCTAGATTTTCTCCTATGTAAACTTCTAGGAGTTTTATACTTTTACAATTTACATTTAGGTCTATAATCCATTTTGAGTTAATTTTTATGAAGGGTATAAGGTCTGCCGAGATTCATTTTTTTGCACACGGATATTCAGTTGCTCCAGTACCATTTGTTGAAGACCATCTTTTCTCCATTGCATTGTTTTTGTTTCTTTTTTTTTTTTTGAGACAGAGTTTCACTCTTGTTACCCAGGCTGGAGTGCAATGGCGCGATCTCGGCTCACTGCAACCTCCGCCTTCTGGGTTCAGGCAATTCTCCTGCCTCAGCCTCCTGAGTAGATTGTCTTTGTTTCTTTATGAACCATCAGCTGACTATGCAATCATGCATTTCACAACAATGTTTCAGGACGGACTCTATATATGATAACGGCCCCATAAGATCATAATGGAGCTGAAAAATTCCTATTGTCTAGTGACTTTATAGCTGTTGTAGCCATAGTAACATTGTAGTGCAGTGCAATTACTTTTTAAACACATTTAGTGTAGTCTAACTGTACAGTGTATGTAAAGTCTATAGTAGTGTACACTAATGTCCTAGGCCTTCACATTTAGTCATCACTCCCTCGCTGACTCACCCTATGCAACTTCTAGCCAACAAGCTCCATGGTAAGTACTCTATATAAAGTATAACATCATCTTTTACTATATTTTTATGTTCCGTTTCTATGTTTAGATATGTTTAGAAATACAAACTATTACTGTTATATTAAAATTGCTTATAGTATTCACTACAGTAACATGCTGAACAGTCTAAGAACAACACACTATACCATAAAGCCTAAGTGCAGAGCAGGCTATACATCTAGATTTGTGTAAATATACTCTACAATATTTGAACAATGACAAAATCATCCAACAATGCATTTCTCAACTCAGAACATATCCCTGTCATTAAGTGACACATGACTGTATTGATGTGGGTCTATTCCTGGGCTATCTATTCTGTTCCAATGATCTATTAAAATATTTGTCTATGTTTTCACCAATACCACCCTGCTTGATGACTGTAGTTGTACAGTAAGTCTTGAAGTCAGGCAATGTTGAATCTCCAACTTTGTTCTTTTGTTTTTTCAATTTTAAGTTGCCTATTCTGGGTCTTTTGCCTCTCCATATAAACTTATTAGAATCAGTTTGTCGACATATACAACAAACTGCAATTTTGACTAGGATTATATTGAGTTTAAAAATAAAACTGCAAAGAAGTGACATCCTGTTAACAGTGTTCCTATCCATGAACATCTGTTTAGTTCTTGTTTGATTTCTTTTAACAGTTTTGAAGTTTTCCTTGTACATATTTTATACATATTTTATTAGATTTATACCTAAGTATTTATTTTGGGAGATATTAACGTAATGGTATTATGTTGTTAATTTTATAATTCCACTTGTTCACTGCTGGTATATAGAAATATAATCTACTTTTGCATATTAACCTTGTATCCTGCTACCTTGTGCTTATTGTTTCCAGTTTGTCAATTCTTTTGGACCGTCTACACAGACAATCATATCATCTTACAAACAAAATTAGTTTTATCTCTTCTTTCCCAATCAGTATACATTTCATTTTCTTATCGGGTTGCATTAGCTAGAACTTCCAGTATGATGTTGAAAAGGAGTGGTAAAAGGGAACATCCTTATCCTGTTCCTAATCTTACTGGAAACTTTTAAGTTCTAGAGTCTCACCATTTGCATACGACATTAGCTACAGTTTTATTCTCACATTCATAAAACACTTTTATTTAATCTTCTATTCATATCCCAATACCAACACCTAAATCAGTGATGCTCTTTACTGCATTTAGGCTGTTATGTCCCTTTACCTCTTTTAAAAAAATTATTGTTTACACAACTCTGAGGCACAATTCAGACTATCACAGTCACACATTTAAAACCTACAATTCAGCATTTTTTTAGTATATTTACAGAGTTGTGTAACTATCACTAAA